TGGTATTTTTAACTTATTTTAAGATATGTGGGGTATCTGCGATGATCATTGATGCTTAAGCTTTGCATTTTTATAGCCATACATATAATATATGACTGTAGAATTGTAAGAAATAATTTTATAAATACATACTATTAGGATCTAATTATGAAAGCCAATGCCTTCACTCAGGAGTATATTTTGTAAGAAATTTTTTCCATCAATGAAAAAGAAGAGGTATTCCATTGACTTTGTGTATAATCAAGATATTTATTTTTTAAATAACATTATGGTGTTAATTTGCGCTGATAAATCTGGTTTGGGGCAGGAGGATGCTGGGACTTGGTCTCCTTGTAAGACAATTGCAATGAAAGGCTGGCTTTATGTGCAGGGAGGTTACGTTCTCTTTAAACACATCCAGGCCCCAGACCTGGGGACTCCAGCTCCTAGAGTGCCTAGTCCACTGCTAAACCAGGAAGAAGGAGTATAGATAGAGAAAAAAAAGCTTACTTTATTTTTCTCCTGTTCAGAGGTTAATAGAGAAAAGAAAATGGTAGTCAGAAGTAGAAAATCAAGGTTTCCTTTCTTTCTTGAATAGAAATCAAAGAAAAAGGCAGGTCCTAGAAGTTGAGGGAAACAGTAAGGCAGTGTGACTTTCCCCGTAACCTACATAGGTATACTGGAACAGAGCCAGGTTGTGATGGCCTTGTAATGACATGGGATTGTGGCTCCCACTTTCCTCAGGTTTAAAACTTCTGACCCACCATGTATCACCATGTATCACAAGTTCCATGGATCACAGATGATGAATCAAGGACCAAGGTGACCAGGCAAGAAAGGCTGAGGGTAAACAGCCAGGCCAGTAAACCAAGTGGAGAACCCAGTAGACTCAGTTTCCAGCATTGGCCATGTGTGTTCACTGGGCCAAGAGGACCATGGAAGGGGACAAAGGAAGAGGCAGAGAATATCACATCCAAGTACTGCTATTTTATACCACCTATAAACCCCTCACCTCCCATCTCCTCTTTTAAGAGGACACTAGCTAATGAAGTATATCAGGTAACCAATCAAGAGACAGAACACTCCTTCAGTGCACTGTTTACATTTTTGAATCACATTAAGTACACCAGTTTGAATCCTTAATCCCCCTCCCCGAATTAATCAGCAAGAGGGCTTCAGGAGGAATATTACTCATGGCCTCTGAAGATCTATGTTGTAGTGGGAATTACATTTGCATTACATTTGAATTAAATTCACCATCCCCTCCACCCTAAACATACAGGTTTACATAAGGCATCACATTCAAGCTTAAAGATAGAAACATATAAAAGCACAGGGAACAACACCAGATTTACATTTTACCAGGAATAATCCTGGTCAGGAAATTTTTGTATATGAATCCATTATGCATAAGAAAGAAAACTCTGTGGCCATCTGAGAATGATTCTGCTGAATTGGGTAAAGACTTTGAAGACTCAGAACAGTAATACCTCACATCTTGGAATGTATTTGTTTCACTTAGTAAGGGGACGATACCATTACTTTATGATTTATAGGGTAGATACTTGTGAAATGAAAACAGATGCTTAATTTTTTTGTCTTCTTTTGCTTTTTAGAACTGGTCAAGGGCAAATTAGGCAGGAGTGGAATAAGAAGAGATTCAGGCATCTGTGATGTCAGCTACTGGGTAGGCTGAGGTGGGAAGACTGATTGAGTCTGGGAGGTGGAGGTCACAGTGAGCTGAAATTACCCCACTGCACTTCAGCGTGGGCAACAGAGCCACAGCCCGTCTCAAAAAAAGAGAAGAGATTTTGATGGGAAAGACACATCTCTCATCATATATTCAAAACACCTTTATGTGAATGACATATGACACCCCTATTCTGTCTCCTCAAGGAATTAACAATCTAGTTTAAAGAGAAATTGTTTAAGAAAATAAACCTGAAATCATGGTAGCAAAAGAAAACAGGAACTCAAAAGCTTAGTGGCTTGTCAAAGATTCAATGTAAGGTTATTAAGAAGTTCAAAGAAGGGTTCAGTATCAGGGAAGGCTCTAAAGATTATACAGTAACTAGATTAGGAAAAAATAAAATAAAAGGGCATGGTATAGATGTGGATAATCAGTACTTGCAAAAGCAATAATAAATAAATAAAAAGGAAGGAAGGAAGGAAGGAAGGAAGGAAGGAAGAGTATTTATGGAAAATCCTGAAAATCCAGTGCTGTAGTTGAGAACAGGAGAAAATAACAACAGGTAGGTAGATGCAGATCAAGCTGGTCCTAAAGAGCCAGAAAGAAAAGTTTATTTATTTATTTATTTTTACTTTTTTTGAGACAGGGTCTCATTCTGTTGCCCAGGCTGGAGTGCAGTGGTGCAATCCTGGTTCACCACAGCTTTGACATCCTGAGCTCAAGCGATCCTCCCGCCTCAGCCTCTCAAGTAGCTGGGACTACAAGTACACACCACCATACCTGGCTAATTAAAAAAAAATTTTTTTTGTAAAGACAAGATCTCACTAGATTGCCCAGGCTAGTCTCAAACTTTTGGACTCAAGCAGTCCCCCCACCTTGGCCTCCCAACGTGCTGGGATTACCGGTGTGAGCCAAATGCGCCCAGCTGAAAAGTTCATTGTTTTAGGGAAAAATATAGAAGACCCATTGTAGGTTCTTTAACAAGAGAGTAACACTCAAAATAGAGTTTTAGGTACATTTTCCTGTGTCAGGATGAAATGAAAGGAGAGGGACGGATGACTGGCAAGAAAGAACAGAGGGTGCAATTGAACTCAGTGTGGGGACTGATACAGAAGCGATGAGAGAAAAAGGAGAAAAATTCAGATAATTTAAAAAAGGAATTGACAGGATACAATGACGGAGAAATCAAATAGTGTAACTGTTAGTCCTGTTTCCCTAGGATCATCCAATTTATATCTGTTGTCCCAGAAGAATTATTGATAACACTCCTTTCACTTGGATGATAAATTATTTAGTCATCTTATATGTATTGGAGAATACTTTCAGCTCAGGCAGCTGTGATGATGGAACTGCCTTGAAGTGCCTCCAACAAATATACAGAAGATAGGCATTCAGAATGAAGTAGAATTTCATTGTAGACCTGATTAGGGGGAAGAGTAGCAGGGTTTCAGTGTAAGTGCCCAACAGACAGTTGAAAAAAATGACAAGCAGATGAACATTCCAGAAACTGTGATTTTGCAGTCATGTGCATCTTTTGTAAAAGCCAGTTTGTACCAATCTCTACATTTTGATTCTGAATATGAGGCAATGAATCAAACAAGGGCATTGATGACATGCAGCACATTCTACCAAAGTCAGTATACCATCAGAAACCTGGAGAAGAAGTGGAAGACTACCATTCAGGGGAAATTTTCAATAAAGGTCCAACTGAAGGAGTCCGAAGCTTTCTTCAGCCTATCATTCCAGCCCATTTTCCACTATTCTCCCTCATAAATGTTTGATTATATCCAGATTGATATAGTCACTGCCTGGTATTACTGGTGGATTCCGCCTCCTCCTTGCCCTGGAGTCTTACTGTAACCTCCCTCCACGTCTCCCTCTCCCCTTCTGAAAACCCATCCCTTCCTTCTCCCTCTGCCCATTTCCACCTTCTACTTTAATGCCACTTAATTTCTGATTTCCCCATGAAGCCTTCTTGACCACACCAACACACATGCACTCTGTAGCCTATGACCTCATAGCATTTAATGTCTTTACTACTAATTAGATTTTAATTTAATCATACATTTGCACCTTGACATCCATTTTCTGTGGTTTTATATGTCCTATAACTCCTTATTCAACCACTCGATTATTTAACTGTTAATGCACGTATTATCTAATCTCCTTAAGGTTATATGCCCTTTGAAGGGGGGCTGCTATTTTTCTCTGTATCGTATAACTCTTGACTTGGTGCTAGTCCTTATTTCTCAAAAACAAAACAAAATATTTTAATGCTTTTTATTTATGAGTGAATTCAAATCCTATTACTAATGCATTTTCAGAATATTACTTTAACATTTATTATAAACTATGTCAATTGTATCCTTTTTCATACTAATAAGAATCACAACAATATCAAGAAGTTATGGTGTTTGGAGACATTTAATACAACATATAAATTCCTTCACCTGTTTGGAAGACTTTTTTTAACTGGAAATATAATATTAGTAGTTTTTATATTAAACATCATACTTGCTTAATCTGCTCTTTAATGTCATATAATACAATGTAATGAAGTAAACAGAAAATATTCAGTTTCTAAATTTAGAGTTTGTATTTCACCAAATTAATAAGGATACCAATGAATTCACACATCCAAGGTGGCAACAGCACTGAGTCAGGGTGTTATTTCCTCCCCTATTCTTTGTGAACATATTGATGGTGCTTATCACTTAATCATCAGACAAATGCAAGATCTTTTGTCTGTCTCCGGAGTCTACTGCTGCAACAAATGAATTTACCACTAGCAGCCTCATAAGTTCTTACACAGAATAACACCTCTTTGTAATAACACAGGAAATGTGAAAAAGGATTGCTACCAGCTTTACAGAGAAATTCTGCTTTAAGGTGAACGTTTATAATGAATGAAATGGCAGGATTTGGACCACAGTATGTCTGACATGTGTGATTTAGAAATTTATTACAAAGGATTCCATTGAATTTTCAAAGGAACTTCTCAAATTCTGAATGTAGGTGTTTCTTGCATCATCTGTTTAAGCTTCAGAATATAGACGGTCATGGGAGTCAGCCAGTGTAGATAAATAAAGAAATTAAACTTCATAAGCTTCATCAACAGCAGCTTCCATAGGAGTAGGTGTAATTTACTGAACATCCATCCATCTTTACTTCCAGAAACATGAGTAATGTCCTTCAGTTTTTAATTTGCACTTAGTCTATATGTTAAAAAGCTTGTGTAAGTAGCTAGAAATTAAATGAGCAGACATGTATGCTTTAAATTCAAATAGTGGCATGGGAAAATATTTTTACTATAATAAATGCATCTCTGATGTCTGCAGGGGAAATTGAATAGTATTTTATTGACTAAGATCAAACAATCCCTAATTACCACCCAGAGGCACAAAGTAAAATTCCAGCAAGTAGAGGCAGCATTAGGTTGCATCACACAGGCAGGCACTATTCTGGTATATGCCCAGGCATTTCCTTGAGGAGTTAACATAAGGTTTACCAGAAAGTCCATCTCACCAAGGCATTGTATGGCGAGGTCTCAGTTGCTTTTCTCTGCCCTCTCTGAGTTTGTTTTTTGTTACAGTTGAGGTCTTCAATCAATCTCAAACAACTGGAAAACAGAAAACGAAAATAGGCAGGTCTGGTTAATTGAAAGGCATAGTTTTTTTTTCTTTCCAACTTTTTATGAAATATTTGTAAAATCTGTCAATCCATTATCTACATTCATAACTACAATATTACGACTACAAATGAATCTTTTTAGCATGATTCTTATGTTCTGAACATATAATCTATCAAAGTGACCTCATTCCCTGGTGGATTAACTATACAAGTCTTACTCCAAGACAGACGGGGCTTCCTTCAGGATCTGACTCTAGCCTACATTTCCTGTGACTCCTCACAGCAGGCTCTAAGCTCTAGCCTTATAAATTATCTTCATTTGCTGAGTATTTTGTGTCTTTCTCATCCTTGTGGCTTTTCCCATAGTCAGAGTGGTTTTTCAGACTACAAATTTCATGATTCCACTTCTCTCTCTTTTTCAATCCTACAATGCCTTCATTGATGTTGCCCCCAAAGTCTTCCATGAACTGGCCCCACTTGTCTCTCTAGTGCCAGCTTCAGTAACGTCCATCCCCATTGTTTATGTTCAACCCAAGATCATCTTTATATGCAGCAGATCACACCTCAGAGCATTAGACATGGCATGGTCTTTGCCTCTTTATATTCTTCGCTCTCAATATGAATAACGTGTGTCCTGGATTTAGTTGAAGCTTTGTCATTAAGTGACCAAAGAAAAAATGGTAAACTCTCTGAGATTTAGTTTCTTTATTTATAAAACAAGGAGGGGGTCAGTGATGATTTCTGAAATTTCTTCTTGGTACTTAAGAATTGTAATTAAAATAGAAAATGTAAAAAGTGTAAGATATAAGACCAATTCAAAATATGTGGTGAACTTAAGCTTTCACAAATAAATTTCTAATAGTACTTGGTTTAATTTTAAAATGCTTTTTCTCCTAAAAGAAAATTTGGAAATATATTAATTAGTTGGAATTTGAGGATTCACTAAACAAAAAAAATGTCAGATAGCAAAACTCCCTCAATTTAGTACAATTCATATACACTGAAATTCTGGACTAACCCCCTGGATTAAAAAAAAATAATAAGGACTCCTAGTTTATAGTTTGGCATGTAAAAACTTAGAAGTTTCCACTCCTTCCTAACAACAAATAAGAGGCTGAAAAAAAATGAAAAATCAATAACCTTTCTTAGATTCATAGAGAAGTAAGGTTACAGGTCAAACTGCTACCCGAACACATATAGAGAATCACAACTTACCTGAGCAGAAACTAATGAAGAAAACCTAAAGTATAATTGATGAATTGCCAGAAGTTTCATGTGGATGGGTCTGAGAGCTAACGGCTTCTGGGGGACTCAGTCTTAGGAAAGACCTCATGCTTTTATGGGTTTTACTTCCTAGATCCTTATCAAGTTCTCACAGTGATTACAGGAGAAAAGATTCCTTTGTGCTTGTGACAGAGGAAAGGGAAGGAACTTTTTTGAAATATACCAGTACATTCTGTTCTTAATAAGTTCTGTCCCCAGGGGAAACCATTTAACTAGTTGCTGAAAATTAAAATTGCTAGAGTTTTATCAGAAACTAACTGACCTGGGGAAAGAGGTGTACCCAACCCTATCTGGTCTTCCATGTAGAAGAAGGAAAACACCCAACTTCAGCTCAGTCTAGTTATCTTGTCCCATCTGAGTTGAGGGGATGTGACTGAGAAGCATGTGTGAAGTTCACAGCCCAGAGACATAGGCTTAGTAAAGACTGAGACCTATTCATAAGATTACAAAACACTTATTTTCCCCCACACCTTACCACCACATTCATAAAGGCCTATTTATAGCAGTTTCTTTTACTCAAGGCATCATGTTCAGCTATCAATAAAAAATTACAAGGCATACTAAAGGCAAAAACTACAGTTTGCAGAGACAGACCAAGAATCAAAATCAGACTTAAGATATGGCAGGAATGTTGCAATTATCAGACTGAGAATTTAAAACCACTTTCATTAATATGTTAAGGGCTGTAGTGAATGAAGTAGACAGCATGCAAGAATAGATGGGCAATATAAGTAGAGAAATAGGGATTTTCTAAGGAAGAACCCCCAAAATGCTAGAGATCAACAAAAACAAAAACAAACAAACAAAAAACAACAACAGAAATGAATAATTCCTTCAATGGCTTTAGTAGACTGGACAAAGCTAAGGAAAGAGTCTCTGAGCTTGAGAACATGTCAACAGACATCTAACTGAAAAGCAAAGAGAACAAAGACTGGAAAAGAAAGAAAGGACATAATATCCAAAAACTGTAGAACAATTCCAGAAGCATAAATACACATAATGGGGATATCAGGAGGAGAATAAAGATAAAGAAAAACAGAGGAAATACTTGAAACAATAATGATTGAGGATTTCCCCCAAATTAATGTCTGACACTAAATCACAAATCCAGGAAGTACAGAGAACACTGGGCAGGATGAATGTGAAAAAATCTCTATACCTAGGCATATCATCTTCAAACTACAGAAAATCAAAGATAAAATTTTGAAAGAAGTTGGGGGGTTGGGTAGGGGTGGAACAACAACAACAACATGAGAAGACAGAGGTGAAAAATCTCACCTTATCTATAGAGGAGAAAAATAAGAATTTCATTTGCATCTGAATTCTCCCTAGAAACAAGAAAAGCAGGCCGGGTGTGGTGGCTGACAGCTGTAATCCCAGCACTTTGGGAGACCGAGGTGGGTAGATCACCTGATATCAGGAGTCCAAGACTAGCCTGGCCAACATAGCAAAAACCCATGTCTACTAAAAAAATACAAAAAACAATTAGTTGGGCATGGTTGTGTGCACCTGTAATCCCAGCTACTCAGGAGGCTGAGACAGGAGAATCATTTGAACACAGGAGGTGGAGATTTTAGTGAGCCGAGATCACACCATTTCACTCCAGCCTGGGTGACAAGAGCAAAATTCCATCTCAAAAGAAAACAAAAAAGAAAGAAAGAAAAAAAGAAACAAGGAAAGCAAGAAGAGAGAACAGTGAAATATTTAAAGTTTTGAGAGATTAAAAACCCCACTGACCTATCGACCTATAATCTTATACCCTGTAAAACTGTCCTCTAAAAATGAGCGAGAAATGAAGACTTCCTCAGCAAAACAAAAATTAGAATTTGTTGTGCCTTACAAGAAATGTTTTAAAAAGCTCTTCAGCAAGAAGAAAAGCGATGTAGGTCACAAACTTGGATCTACATGAGGAAGAGCATTGGAGAAGGAATAAGTGAAGGTAAAATAAAAAAACCTCTTATTTTTCTCATACCTAATTGATCTAACAGATAACAGTTTGTTAAAAATAACAATAGCATAATTGTATTCAATTGTATGTATACATGTGTCTCTGTGTGTGTGTTACACACACACATACAAGGATATATATATGAAGTATCTATATAAAGTGTGTGTGTGTATATATATATATACACATATACACTTATATATGCTTATATATAAGTGAAATAAATGATAGCAATGATACAAGAGACTTGAGGGAGGGCTTAGAACTATTTTGTCATTATAAGGTATTTATACTACCTGTGAAGTGGTATAGCATTATTTGAAAGTGCACTTGGAGTAATGGTGAAAGTACACTGTAAATTCTGAGATAACCACTAAAAATGTTTTGTTTTTGAAAAAGGTATAAGTGATATGTTAAGAAAGGAGAGAAAATAAAATTACATCAAATGCTCAGTTAAAACCACAAAAGGCAAAAATAAGTGGAGGACAAAAATGGAATCAAATAACAAACATAGAAAATAAAAACCAGTAACAAATATGGTAGATTCTAATAAAACTGTATCGATAATCACTTTGAATGTTTATTGTCTAAATGCACCAATTAAAAGACAAAGATTGTCATAGTGGATAAAAAATTAAAACCCAACTATATGTTGTCTACAAGAAATCTACTTTAAATATAAAGAGATGTAGATTAAAAGTAAATGGATGAAGAAAATTATACCATTCTAATACTAACCAAATGAAAGTGGAAATTGATATATCAATTTCAGGCAGAGCAGGCTTCAGAGCAAGGAATGTCATCAGGGATAAAGAAGTGCATTACATGGGTAAGCACAGGCACAGAGTTAAAAAAAAATATCAGAAGGGCATTACATAATGACAAAAGGATTAATTCTTCAAGAAGACATAATTCTTAATTTGTATGTAACTAATAATAGAGAATCAAAATATATGAAGCAAAAACTGATAGAACTGCAATGAGAAATAGATGAATATACTATTATAGTTGGAGACTTCAATGCCCTCTGTCAGAAATGAACAGATTCAGCAGGCAGAAAATCAATATGGACATAGTTGAACTCCATAACATCACCAAACAATTGGACATAATGGACATCGATAGACTACTTTATGCAACATCAACAGAATACACGTTTTTCTCCACCTCACATGGAACACTGACCAAGACAGACCATGTTCTTGACAATAAAATACACCTTGACAAATTTTTAAAAACACAACACATACAATATCTGCTGTCAGGCAACAATGGAATTAAACTAGAGAGGAATAGTAGAAAGGTAGAAAGCTGAAAAATACCAAACTATGTGGAGATTAAGCAATATACTCATGGGTCCAAGAAAAAAAGCTCATGAGAAATTAAACTAAGTGAAATTTAAAACATGGCTTATTAAAACTTGTTGAATGCAGTAAGTGCAGTGATTAGAGGGAATTTTATAGCACTAAATGTGTATAATAGAAAAAAAGAAATGTCTAAAATCAATTATAGATCAACCAGTTTACAACACTGAAAAAGAAAAAGCAAATAAAATACAAAGTAAGTAGAAAAAAAAAAAAGAAATAAAAGCTGGGACACAAATAAATGAAACTGAAAACAAAAAGTCAGTAGAGAAAATTAATGAAACTAATGAAAAGTTCAATCCATAAGCTTCTAGTCAGGGTAACTGGAAAAAAAAAGCAAAAGAGAGAGAACACAAGTTACTCATATCAGAAAGGAAAGAAAAGAAATTACTACAGCTCCCATGGATGTTAAAATGATAACAAAGGAATGCTATGGTCCCGGCTTGATGGCTTATGCCTGCAACCCCAGCCCTTTGGGAGGTCAAGGCAGGAGGATAAATTAAGGCCAGGATTTGAGACTAACCTAGGCAAAATAGAACTTATCTCTAAAAAAATAATTTAATGAAATATCTGGGTATGGTGGTGCACACTTGAAATCCTAGCTACTCAGGTGACTGACGTGGGAAGATTCCTCGAGCCCAAGAGTTTGAGGCTGCAATGAGATACAATCATGCCACAGCACGTCGGTCTGAGCAACAGAGCAAGACACTCTTTGAAAAGTTTTAAAAAAGTTAAAAAGAAATACTACAAACAATTCTAATCTCACATGCTAGCCTAGGTGAAATGAACCCATGTCCTGAAAGACATAATCTGCCAAAACTCACACAAGAAAAAATAGACCATCTGAATAGACTCATATTTATTTAAAAAATTGAATCAATAGTTGATAACATTCCAAAACAAAAAGGATCAGGTGCAGATGGGTTCACCATGAATTTGACCAAACATTTAAGAAAGAAATCATGCTAATTTTCTGCAATGTTTTTTAGACGACAGAAAGTGAATGAATACTTTCTAATTCATTCTCTGAGGCCCAGCACTATCCTCATACAAAATCAGAAAGGCATTACAAGAAAAGAAAACTAGAAATCAATATCTCTAATTAACATAGATACAAAAATTCTCAACAAAATAGCAAATCAAGTCCAGCAATGTATAAAACAAAGTGTATCTCACTACCAAGGTGATTTATCACAGGTATATAAGGCTGGTTCAACTTCTGAAAATCAATCAATATAATTGATTCACATTAACAAGCTAAAGAAGAAAAGTCACATGATTATATCAATAAATGCAAAGAAAGCATTTGACAAAACTCAACACTCATTCGTGTTAATAACTTTCAGTAAATTTGGTCTAAAGCAAAAATTCCTTAATCTATAAAGAATATTTACAAAAGCTCTATAACTAACATTACATTTGACAATGAGAAATTTGAGGTTTTCCACTAACATCAAAAGGAAAGCAAGAATGTCCCCTTTCACTACTACTTTTCAATATTTTACTGGAAGTGCTAGCTAATGTAACAAGGAAAGAAAATGAAGTGTATACAGATTGGAAAGGAATAAGCAAAACTCTCTTTGTTTGCAACTGTCATGATCATCTGTATTAGTCTGTTCTCACACTGCTATGAAGACATACCTGAGAGTTGGTAATTTATGAAGAAAAGAGGTTTTATTGACACACAGTTCCATAGGCTGTACAGGTAACATTGCTGGGGAGGCCTCAGGAAACTTACAATTATGGTGCAAGGTGAAGGGGAAGCAAGCCCATCTTTCAATGGT